CCCCGAGGTGTCATTATGGGGCCCAGCTAGCTCAACCACGCTAGGGCGACTCCCTAGTCCCCTCTAGGCTACATTAACCTCCGGCCAGTTGGTAACCCCGCAGCGACCGGGTTTCACATAAAACCATTTCATCAAAAACACTTCCCTGAAATTTCCCATATTTATTTCAAGAACAATTTCTCCCATTTCATGCAAACCCAATGGTATGTGCATGTATATATGTTCCATACATTCAATGTCATGGCATTTAAAATTCTACACCATAAAATTAAACATTCAACATGTTCAACATCTCCCAAGTAATTATTAACACGTTAAGATATAACAAAATACATTTAAGCATGCTTTACACATAAAACAACTCACATTCAAATACATGAATTTCTCTAGACAACATTTAAAATAATCATTGATACAATTAACTTCTAATTAAGCATGCTTGGCACAACAAATGATTATAACTCACAATGGAACAAGAAAGTAGTGGATTAAGATGTCCCTACCTCAAAAGTGAGCCAAAACCCTTAAAATGGGTCTCTAAATTCGAGCTCCCAAAGAGGACCAAAAGCTGGAATTTCTGGTACTAGCACGTAGAGCTCGTCGTGCTCGTCGTTTTGCCTCAAACGGCACTTTAATCCGATAAGAGATGAGGGAGAAATCAAGAGTGAAAGCTTGCAAAAGAAAAAGAAAAAAAGAAATACAAAGAGGCAGAGAGCTGCGAGACAGAAGAAACAACAGAAAACAAAAAAAAAAAAAAGGAAAAAAAAACGTGGTCTTATGACCACTTAAACTTCGTGGGTCCCACACATTTTTTTTTTTTCTTTCTCTTTTTCTTTTGCCTTTTTAAGTTACAGACATTACAACCAATGTCTATAAAATCTGAAAATTACCAGACTATTTTGTCTCCAAAACTAATTGGAAGCAAGTAAAACTGAATCAGAAGTTATATGCCTTTCAATTCTTAAGGACAAATAAATTACAGATAAGACTTTATTCGATTCTTGTCGAACATTTGATTTTTGATACTTGATATTAGTCTGAATATGGTAACAAGGCCAGGAGAACAAAAGGGGGTAATCTAGAATTCAAGCACCATGGTAACTGAAGACTCTGCTATATAATCAACTTGCATGAATGAAAAATTCTGAAATAAAGAGTTAGGACTGAAACTAAGTGACACATACCTACTCCAAACCCATGCAACTCTGGAATGTCGACTATCCTTGAACATAGAAGCAAGACCCTGACAATTTGTTGAGCTCCTATCATAAGCTAATTGAACTGTGATACAGCTCATCCTCTTCTCTTTTCCTTAATGATGGCCTAATGTAGACACTGGACAATTCAAAATAAATTAACATGGATGCTGCAATATATAGGAGTCTGTCAACCATCGCAGAAATGTCTAATGCCAGCAATGAATAATCAAGAAAACTTGGATGCATATATACATATACATATATATATTATATATTTGATGCAGATAATCAGGATTATCCTATATGTATACATAAATTAATAAATATCTACAGTGTTACTCTTATTATGAATGCAGTTACTCCTACGTAGGCTATTCTTTATATTATCAAGTAATAGAGACTCACAATCACTTCATGCACATAATTGTTCAGTACCTTTAATTTCTGTCTCCTCTGTTTTGCAGCTTACTTCGTCAATTTTCTTAAGCAATTCACGCGCTATCTTCAACTTGCCAGCCTTTTCAAATGCATGTTCAAAAGTTTCCCTAATGTAGATTGGAGGGCAGACACCCTTTTCAGGCATAACCCAGGGATCCTCTTTAGTAGGTGTACCACATCCAACGGATCCCAGCCTTTACACGTGAGGAGACCCACGCGTGGGTGAGCTGGGATCCATTGCTGTACGGCTGAGGATTCCAGCTCAATTTGATGTCTCTAAGTTGGGATTGTCCAAACAATGCATACTTTACAAGTACAAGTCAAAATCAGTGACCATTTCCTTCTTGTTGCCAGTGAAAGAAGTTATATTATTCTCTCTGAATGAAGCTACAATGGAGAGTTGCATGGATATTTTTCAAGATGTTAAAGCTACAATGGAGAAAAAAAATAAGAAAACAGAATGAAATTCCAAAATTCATCAATTAGGAAACCTACAAGTTCACATTCAAATTGAGGATGGTTTTAAGTGAACCAACTCACAAAGGATTTAAGAAATTTCAGATGGGATGAAAATCAGTCATAACATGAGAAAAATTAGGTTAGAAACAAAATCTTGACCAAATTAGTCATGAAAACAGTTTTGAGAGCCAAAAATCAATGGCCAAATGGAAAGGTCTGATTGGATCTTTGTCAAAGTCTGACAAGAAACTGATGAAATAAAACCATGTCAAAGAGTAGATGCATTGAAAACCCACAAAGGGTCATTTACTTCCCCCTCACAAAACCCACAAAATGAAAGTTCGAATAGATAATCAGACATATTATTGACAATTCACCGATCCAGAAAAAAAAAAAAGTTCGAATTTCCTCATTCAAAACTATCAGGAAAATACATCTAAGAGGCACACACACGGAAAACAAACATTCACGAGTACTGTACAAAAGCAATGAACAATGAACAAAAGGAAGAACTAGTAACTACACATACAAGATCATCATCTTAAGACAAAAGACTTTCAGAAAAAGCCTTAATGCGTGCCTCCATCTCTAAGTCAAAGAAATCAGTTTCGAAATCAAAGTCGCCAAAAAATGACTCAATCTGCTGCAGGTCTTGGTCTTGTACTTGGTCTTGTATTGTATCGCAAGAGTTCATTGTACTGATATCATGATCATGTGGTGGCAGCTGCGTCTGAATATCGGAAGACATTGCAGTTGCATCAAAATTGTCATAAAATGAGTCTATATGCTGCAGGCATTCTATTGTACCACTAGAGTTGATGTTGGGCAGATCAAAGAGTCTGCCAGTCTCATCATAATATGCTGGGAGAGGCTGAAAATCGGAAGACATTGCAAGCAGAGTCTTTTGTGGAGGAGTACTTGCAAAGGCCTCATCATGATCATATCGCATCTTCTTCTTCTTCCGACTAGGGTTTTCTTCTTTTGATACCTCACGAACATGCTTTGGTGCTCTCCTCAGAAATTTTGAATCATCCCTTTTTATCTTGCAAAGGACATAATCTCGATCAGTACCATCTTCTAGCCCATCCAAACTCACACCGTCCAGCGAATACTCATGCATAGTCCAATGACCTGTTGGCATGATTGACCACTCATCTTTCTTGATATTTGCTTCAAAAGCCAACATTTTCTTGGTACCAATAAGCTGTTTATGTCTATTATAAATTTCCTCGGGCTTGTTTTGGCCATCCCAAGTCCCACACCCGGCTCTCCTTACAACTCTCTTCTTATCGCCAATTTTCTTCAACTTGGTGAAGACATAGATAACGAATTGACAATTATTCTTGCTAATCGTATGCCATGGATCTTCCTTTTTTAATATGTCCCAAGGAGCTTTGTCATAAAGATCAATGTCCAATATTACACCCTCAGGCATGCTCTCACCCTTCACTTTTCTGCTCAGGTAATGGAGGATTTCAACTTCTGTGGGGTCGAAGTGAAATCCTAGCGGAATAAAAAACATCTCGTGATCGGACACAGAAGAATTCATTAAGAAAAAAATGGGACACCTTCCAATTACAGAAGAAGAAGGAGAATGATAGAGGCGGTAGTTGCAGTGACTTGGGAAAAAAGTTGAATGAGAAAAAGAGGGACTAACAGAATTACGGAATCAAATACAGAGGAGCGTGATCGCAATACAGAAGAAGAAGACCAGTTTGCAAATACAGAGGAGCGTGATCGCAAATACAGAAGAAGAAGAACACCAACACAGTGATTGAGGCCGTTTGCAATATTGGTAAGGTCTCCTCTGGAAGACTTGCAAGAAAAGAAAGACAGGTTTTGCGCAGTGAAATAGGTTTCCAATTGCGCAGTGAAAAAGGTTTCCAAATAGGTTTCCAATTGCGCAGTGAAGACAAGTTTCCAATTGCGCAGTGAAATAAGTTTCCAAATAGGTTTCCAATTGCGCAGTGAAGACAAGTTTTCAAATAGGTTTCCAATTGCGCACTGAAGCAGGTTTCCAAATAGGTTTCCAATTGCCCAGTGACAACCGACCAGACTGCAAGAAAAGACACGGTCTTCAATATATATAGAAGAAGAAGAAGAAGAAGAAGCCGCCGACCCACGAGAATGATTGATGCGGAGGTAGGGTTTCCTCTTGACTTGCGAGTCAAGGAAGACAGAGGTTTATATTGGGGCTGGTTTGGAAAGAGGTTTAATAAAACACAGGGGATACTCTAGTCACTGCTTAAAACACACAGAAAAATGTCCATTTATAGTCTCATGCCCAAATCCAAGTTCTTGGAAAATAAGGATTACAATTTTTAAAATAGAAACTAATATTAATCTAAATTTGTTAATTAATATACACATCCTTATATTGTTAAATTTACGGATTTATATTCTAATTACCTATACAATTTGTTTTAACTTGACAATAAATATATACTCCTATATATGAACTCTCCTTGCTTAATTATTAGATTAAATTTTTTATTAAATGACTAACTTAATTTTTTAAATATCTCAAAAAATTGTATTCTTGCACCCCGGGTATTCTAAAATTTTCCCGACAATAGTGAGGTGAAACTGGAGATCTCATAAATCCATCTAGAGATCTAGAGGTCTCATAAATCTTCTCTCTCGGATCAATTTTCTGTCATATTTATCTTTCTTTGTATCTATTACAGAACATAATAGAAATCATTTCATCCGGTAAAAAATCTAAATGCCATTCATTTTTTCAACAATTCCCCACAAATGCTTCACTGGATCCATTAAGCATATGATCTGCATTGAACATGAAATATATATAATTTTGCACTACCTTCTTCTGCATACACACAAAGCTCATAAACATATAGCAGAAGCCAACAGGGAATGGTTATTTATGTGCAAGGGATCCCATGAGAAAATATCTTTATTATACATTCAACAAAGTTACATCACTCCCTTAAAAAAAGGAGAAACCAGAAGAAAGAAACAAAGAAACAAATGAGTAGATTTGCAACTGCCCCTGGCCCATCTTTGAAATAAATAAAAATCAGCCAATAACACAGCCAATTCAAGAATCCCAACAAGTAAATAGGCATGAACTATATACAATAGACCACACAGTGGCACCCCCTAACACACAAGAGACAGAAGGTGTGGCCACTCTTTCCTCATTCCTTCCTCTCTTCTTTTTTTCCACTTCTTCACTTTCTTTCACGCATCAAACAGCCTCAACTAACCTTTTATGCCCAGGAATGCCTTTTCTCATTCTTGCTTCAACAAGTATTATGTCCATGAGAGACCCATCAGTGCAAGGTAAACCGAGTATTTCGTCAATGCTGATGACACACCTGGCAAGTGGTTGCACTCCTAACATTCCGATAAGTGCAATGATCACATGACCAACCGCCTGAATCGTCCACGTTTCTTGTTGGCCCACCAGATCGGGAAGAAGCACCCTTTGCTCTCCCACCCTTCCCCTTGCCAGGGCCTCCTGTGCTTTTGGAAGTGGTTGTCTTGCTGCAAGCCCCCTCAGAATCCACATCAGAGAGCCCATTTTCTAATGCTCTAACAAGGTTCTCAAAGTAATTTCGAGTCACACTGAAATTGCATATACATGGCATAATTAAATCAGAAAAGTTGTGGCATTTACTGTTAACATACTTGCAACTTATACGATGATATATCAATCAAGGACTCCAATATGTGTGACAAAAATTCATGAATTCTCAGTTGCTCAAAACAATTACATCTACCTTTGATAAGCAAAAGACACAAAAGAAATAAGGAAATAATTCTTCGTTTCAGAGAAAATACAGAAGTACAGGGAGTATTATGGAACCATCAGTGAAATAATCGATATTGATAACCTCAAAGAAGTACATTGGAAGAAGAGGGGAAAAAAACATGCCATTATATCTGAGGTTTAAACCTCAATTCAGTGAATCTCTCTCCCATATGTCATCAAAACCCAAATTGGTATTTTAGTCCTGTTTTCAAGGTAATAAAGGATGAAACAAAAATCAGGTCTCTTGCCCACAAAATTTTAAATGAAAAGTACACGCTAAGCCCAAAAGAATACGATCAACTGGAAGATCACATATGGCTAAAATAAATAACAGGAAGTCCTACCTTCTTTCCTTTCCCTTTCTTTTCTTTTTCTTTTTCTGGTCAGCATAAACCTCCTAAAATTTATTATGGAGTTCTATAGCACTAGGAGGCGGCATGCACCGTATGCACAAAACTAATAGTAACACATGCCAAGAATATGGGGGGCGCATTTTTACAGAGAGAATCCATCAATATTCCATCGTCATTTTTTTAAAGTTGCAAAGGGCTGCTGACAAAGGAAAAACCTCAATGGTCGAAGAGAAGTCACCCACTCCTAAGCAAGATGACCTTAATATCAAGATACGCAGCCTTGAGGAAACTGTCAAATTCATCAGACGTATCGATGCATATGGAGGAACTGACTACTGAACCATTGCTTCTTCTCTAATGTCAAATTCAAAATCCCTGACCTAGAGGTCATTGCTTAATGCAATGGTAAAAACTATTGACAAACACAATAATGCAGGTGGGACATACACTGGGTTATGGACTTTTTCTTTTTTTAAGTTGAAAAGGAATGAGTAATGACAATTCTTTGCTATATGGTAATGGAAGGATATTCTGAACATTGAAATTGACGGTAAAACCTAACAAACTCTCGCAGTCGAACAGCCACAAAATCAGCAATAATGGTTACTGATTACACCCCCAAAAAATAATAATAAATAAATCAGTCCTGTTAAACAACCCAATTTACAAATAAGTTACCTAGTATCCATTTCTTAGTCAACAACATAAACCCCTACATCTACAACTTTAAAACAAAACAGTGGTATCTTCGACTTCCTTATTTTTTATTTTATTCAATTTTCCCCTCTCAAAAGCATAACCCCCATTTCTCTCTCCAAAACAGCTTGGTAAGAACATGTAAAATTATGTACGCTGGCAGTAAAATTTTCCATTGTGCCCACAAACATAAAAGGTTCCAAATATAATAACTGATAATTTGTACGGTAACAATTGAAATGAGTGATACGAGACAGAAGATGGCGGTGATCATTTATGGCCATAGTTGGATCTAGGGATCCTGAAGGTGCAAACGTTAAGCTTTTGGCTAAAGGTTGGGTTTGGAAGACATGGTGAGCTCTGGTGGAATCTTAGCAGTTAGCAAAATGAAGGCTTTTCTTTTTCTTTTTTTCCTCTAGGAGGGAGAGGGAGAGGGAGAGGGAGAGGGAGAGAGAGAGAGAGGATGCCAGCACATTTAACAATAAAGAGGTAACAACGAACAATGACATGTTTTTTATGAATAGATCAAAAGACAATCTTGTGCAATGAAGAGGTGTTCAGTGATCACTAGAACAATGATTACTATCAGTTGTGGTGATGGTGTGCATCAGCATAATTTAACATCATGACCAGGAACACTAAAGTCAATAATGATGATTTTGCCGCTCGAGAGACAACGTCAGCGTCAGCTGGCGAAAATCCCTTTTCTTCAACTCCCTTTTCCACTTAGATTTCCAGCAGCTAGCTTTTCCCCTTGGTTCATTGCCCCCATTATATATCACACTTCTATCTTTGCTATTAAAGAAATTTCAGATATTACATACGGCAAGAAGACACACAGTGAAAGGTTGGGTGGATCTGGTGAGGAAACCGGGTTTATTCCAGAGCTAGATATGGATATATAGAGAGAGAAAGAGAGAGAAGATTCTTCCAGAGGGCAGAGATGATTGCCTCCAAGAGATTCAGAATCATCTAAGAAAGAGGAAAAAGGGAAGTGGTCTAAGACAACAAGAACAATGTTACCTAACCACAAGTTCATGACTCAGGTACATTTGACAGCAATATGACTAGGTTCTCACAAACTAGCCCAGTTATCCCAACAAGATTTTGAGGATCAATAATAATTATATAAAAGTTAGGACATGAATTATTCCTTGTGAATAAGCAGGCATTCCTAACACCCAAGCAATATAACAAAGATTTTTATGGGTCTATCACCAGAACAAAAATTACCTAGTCAGTCCAGCTAATTTTGTACGAAAATTGTTGAAGTCATTTGAAGGGCCATCAGCATTGAGGTACGTTTGTAAATCCTTCTCTGCACATTGGTGAAGCCTTTCTAATCCAGCCTCAGCCTCACCTGAACAGAAATTAAACATCACATAAGCAACACTAACCTGAATAGAACAATAACCTGAATCGAAAACAAACAATTCCGCCATCATGTGTGGTAGATATTGAGAGAAAATAACACACCTTGCAAGTACTCAAAAAACTGCCTCTTGGCAAGTTCATGCTCAGGCAAATAGAATCCATATGCATAGGTCCATTTTAACACACGCCTACATTCAACAATCTGCAAACATGTACAAGGATCATGACATATTTATGTTAATATATCATGCTTTAGCAAAATCATCTCTCTTCTTCTAAACACACACACACACACACACAGACAAAAAAAAAAATGAACACCCAAGGAGTTTGATGGGTTTTGAATAATGCATGAACAAGAAATATCATCTCAAAGGCACAAGAGTCATCTTGTGGCACGAGGCAAAACAACATTTTCCCACCGAGTTCTGAGATGATGTCTGAAGCTATATTAAAATTAGTGACACGGAGATGACTCAACCGACTTGTCGAGGTATCAGACAAGACTTCAAAGTACGCTGTTAAGGGACCATGCCACCCCTATCCCCCACCTAGGGAAAGAAACTCCTTAGTAAGAGGGGGTGGGGGGTGGAGGACACACATAGAGTGCACATTACACCTACCAAATACAGATGTACCACAAATATCATGGGAATATTGTTTCATATTTAAAAAATAGAGAGAGAGCTCGTACACATTACAACCACCAAATACAGATGCAGCACAAATATCATGCGAATATTGTTTCATATTTAAAAAATATAAGAACGCACACACACTTTGAAAATGCATACACACACTTTGAAAATGCACAAGGTGCTTGAAATTTTTACATCAAGACTCCTACATTTTATACCAGAAATTTACTTGGCCAGGGAATTATCTAGAAGACATCGCAAAGAACATTCCTGAAACTTGACATGAATTTCCAAATTCTTTTAAGAACTTTCCTTAAACTTCGTTATATGTCAAATTCAAAACTTATCAACCCTCAATTCCCCCAGGTCATCAAAGAAGTTAAGAAAAAGTGAGGACACTGGTAGATGATCCACCCAAATCAATTATAAGGTAATACACCAAAAATTAGCAACACTCATTCATATGGACAATCATAATATTCTTAAGATGAAATTCAAAATTCTTATTCTTTGTACAAACAATAAAACGAATTAACATTCTTGAATTCAAAGCAAGAAGAACTCCAGTTTACCTGTAGCCAGGCTTCTAAAATGAACTTAAGCTGTGACTCAGGCTGGGATTGTTTGTCACTTATCTTCTCAAGCTGAAAAGAAAAAAGAATGGAAAGAGAAAGATGCATCAAGCATAAATAAGAATGATTGGACATCCTAAGAAGTCAAAAGATGGCTGAATGGTCAGTTTTATCAGATGATCAGATCATATCAGTCAAAGGGCAGTCCAATACTGCTTTACGATAAGGCAGTACCTTAACCAGCTGGTCTTACCAAAGCAGATCATCTAAGCCAAAAATTCAACCAGTTTTAGATGATCATGCCGTCCAATGATATTAGGAAGATAACGTATTAATCTTGAAAGCAAGTTCTACTGCCAAAAAACTACAATGAAGAGCCTTTACATTAACATTTGTCCTTTCATTCAGTTGCTCTATTCCTCCATGCTTGGCAAATATTAGACGTTCAGCAAAGAAACTAATTGAGATTGCCGTTTCAGGTTGTTGGGGGGGGTGGGGAGGGGGGGATTAATTTCTTTCAGGTGGCAGCAGTTAACTAATGCTTCACCAGAATTTTTTTAAATAACAATAAAAGAAAAGAAAGAATATCCTCCAATGGTGACAAACTATAGTTTGAAAATAAATATTTCCAGATTCCTATTAGATATCATATAGTTGATGAAGTTCATATTTTTATTTTTTTTTTTAAATTATTAAATGGACGTATGCACTTGTGGGGGAAGGGGGTACATAAGAATTGCCATAAAAAAATTAATTGCAACTACCTAGACAATCATAATAACAAAATTGCAAATATAAAAAAGGGAATCTGCTTACATGCACAGTTTGCATTTGTTGTAAATCCACAAGAGCTTTTTGCCTTGACTGTCACCAAAGAAAACACAAAACACATTATGCTCAAGGAAAAAAAGAAGTTACTTCAATGAAGTTATTAATGAATGTTGACAAAATTATTGAATTCTAATAGAAAAGGGTAAAAAAGAAAGTATAAAAAATTAATAATACAACATAAAAAAACAAGCAGCTCAAAACCGTTATTCTGACACAAAGAAAGGAACGCCGTATAAATTTCTTTATGGACCTTGCAAGTGGTACTCATTAGAAAATATATTACTCAAACAATGGGGAAACCTCATAAAAAAAATTAATAATAAAACACACACACACACACTTCATAACTAGTTCAATTACGGATAGTTCATTGAAGACAGATATACTTCAATAACAAAAACTTCTCGAACAAAGCTATTCTACTTTCTTCATCATATGTCAACAATGAATTTTCAACTTGATAAGCAGGTGACAAGATGTTCATTGCTTATGATTACATATTATGAACAAGATTTAATTCTGAAAATCCGCTCAAAATAGAAATTAATAGTTAAATGACAGCATCCACAATTTCGTCTGCATGCAGAATCATAGTAGCGCAAGCATTTCAAGTAGAATTTAAATGTCACATAAATTGATGTCAATATTATCAAATTTAATACCATCTACAATAAATATTCACATTTGGAACCCAAAATAAGTGCTCATGAATTACAGTGAGAACATGGCACTCTTAAATATTGAAATATGAATATTAAAAAACCAAGCTCATATTTATCAAAAGTTTGAGCTGGATATGATGAAGTCGTCCATACCGATTGATTGGTTGCCCACCGTTCATAATAATGAGTATATCTCTCTAAAGAGTTCTTAGCCATTTCTCTCCTCTTCTCGGTTTCATCATACTGTAGACAATAAAATAGAAGAAAAACTAATAAACAAATAAAAAAAAATCATAAATATTTATCAACATTGAAGCAAGAAAGTGACAAAAACAATCGAGTATACTATATTGAATAGATAACTAAAATAAAAATCATTAGTTCCATTACCGCTCCCTCTTGCTTTGCTGCCTCATAACGGTTGCATGCATAGAAACCACCTGTCCTTTCGCCATGATCTGACCATGCACCAAGGCATAGCCTGTATGTAAGATGATTGAAGGCACTTATTATGTCACACCACAACCAGATCGAGACGGAGCATAAAGATAAGAAACAAAAATAACACTCTGGTGCAATAAGAATGCATTTTAGGTCACAAAATTTTCATAAAATAGTAAGACAGTGCTAGAGCCTCTAGGTGTAAAGGATTTCAAAGAAGACGACCTCCGAAAGGAACAGAGCCAACAGTAACATTTAAATGTTTGGGTGATTTCAGTTCAAAACACAGGAAAAAAGGCTTACCAGCAAAATTCAAATTTGCAAGGCGGTGTGCATGTAATATGCATACAACCTTGGTTTTTCTCAATTGGTCGCTTGCACTTCGGACAAGGCTTGGAATTGGCTAGTATCCTGAGAGTTAAATCAATATTCGCCATTAAAAAAAAAAATTAGACATCAATACACACACACATATATATAACCCACGTTTTTAACAGCTATGAACATACACAAAAAGGAAACAAGCATCTTCACTTCAAATAGAGACACAGAAAGTCAACATTTATCCTTGATGGAAAAGGGCAATGCATTAAATACTTCTGGAATCGCGTGAGAAGGGGTGAAAAAGTGGACAAGTTTTCTTCACCAAATGAATTGCTTATTACCAAATGTCTATTATAAGCAATAATTATAAAACAAAAGCACCCCCAAAAAAAAGGGAAAGATACAAAAAATATCAATTCGCCAAAAAAATTTATGTATATAAATCCTCCTTGTTCTCATATGCAGCAGTTTTCTAAACCCAGTATTTTAATTAGAAAAACAGAAACCAAATGAGGTTTAAATACAGGACGTGACCATGACATCTTCTTATGTGAAACATATTTTTAAATCCAAAATCTTAACAAGAAAATCAGACCAACCAAATGAAGTGTAAATCTTTCCAGCAACTTATAGATAAAGAAACAACCAGTCTAGAGAAAAGAAGCTTCTGCATATAAAACCATACTCTCTCTGTCCATAATAGTTGCCCCTTTTCAGGGATTTTAACATTTTAAGGGGGCGCGCATTTAAATGCAGTGTCCCCTTTTTAAATTTCCAAGCTATGGGCACAAACACCTTAAAACCTGTAAGCATTTTTCTTGTAAACAAACTGATTTGCATAATTGCAAGTTCTGGGAGATTTAAATATGTATTTTTTTTTTTTTTTTTTTGATAAGTGGGACATTTAAATATGTATTACAAATATTACTACAAATATTCACTGGAAAAGGAACACCTGTTAGTTATCAAGGATCAAGCTATAAGTAATGTTAAAGAATAATTTCCTTGGTCACTACTAGGTTGCCTAGGTATGACATAGAGGTAAGACGCAGCAAAACCCTTTTAGCAGGCTAAATTCAACAGAATCCAAAATCCAAACCATCGGGGCCCAACCTACCAGCTCGTTTATATTATTAAAATAAAATATATATTGCATAGACAAATCAAGCATTCAAGAATATCTAAAGCATTATAAATAAATAAATGAAAATATATTTGCTTAAAAATATAATTATCTTCTTATTTTAGGGTCAATCAAGGATCTACATAGAACCAGCATATGATCATATATATGCACAAACAACAAAAAATTAGAATATTGAAATGACAAAATCAGCAACTATTAGTATTATCAATAATAGCATTCAAAGATGCTGCAATATATGCTCTACCAATTCATGTTTTCAGACTCAGCGCAGTTTTTCAAAATCCACTTGGCCACAGTGCCACAATCCACTGGACGATGAGCTTCCTCTGTACACTGCAATTTCAGCTCAAAATAAAAAGCTTAATGACCTCCCATAAACACAAATATTGATATATAACTATGAATTTCAAAACAATCCAGAAAAGGCTTACATTCCAACAGAAACCATATGAGCAAAGGCAATTGACGTCGTAGCTTCCACTGCCAACAACAAATTCAACAGCATGCTCGCAGCCTGGTGCAGGACACCACTTGGTCTAACAAAGAACAAGCAGAGGAAAAATAATTAATAACTCTACGCAGCAGAGACGGAAAAAAAGGACATAATTAGCTTTGGCAAGGAAAACAAGCATTAAAATAATAAGGGTAAATTACATTGACACCCCGTTTGCTCTAATTATACACAGTGGTCGAAATTGACCTTAATTACACCGTGTACCCCTGTGAGGGTTAACTACCAAACGGCTATTAACTTATAGATAAAATGACCATGATGCCCTTAATTGAAAAAACAATTTTGTAATAGAAAGATATCGTATGTGAAAAGACGAAAGCACCCTCTTGAAAGATCCCACCAAAAAACACTTCATCTCTCTCCTCTCTCTTCATCTCACCACCAAAGTTAGATGTTAGAGGATAAAAATATTTAAGTTATACCCTCTCTAACAGCTTAATTTTCAAGTATGGTGTCATATGAGGAAGGTCGTGTTCAAAACTCATTGTCGTACTAATAATCACCCGTTTTTTGGAGTTATTGTACCGTCAGACGATTACAGCTGGGGATTCTAATTGTTGGCTTTGGAATCCTAACCCTCAGGGTCGCTTCAAGGTGAGGTCTTTTTCAGGTGTCTTACGGTTGGCTTTGGAGGCCATTTCCCTTGGAAGTCTATTTAGCGCTCTAAGGCTCCCCTCAAGGTGGCCTTCTTTGCTTGGACTTCTGTCTTGGGTAAGATTTTAACTCAGGATAATTTGAGGAGGAATCAGGTGGTGGTTAATCGTTGTTATTTGTGCTTGCGAGATGAGGAGACCGTTGATCACCTTCTGCTTCACTGCAGTTTGTCTAGGGGCTGTTGGGATTTGGTGCTTGGGTTGTTTGGGATCCCGTGGGTTATGCCTAGATCCGCTAGAGGGATGATTGAGGCTTGGAGAGGATTTTCAGTGGGGGCTCTCATTCGTGATGCTTGGAGGGCTACGCCTCTTTGCGTTTGGTGGCGCATTTGGCTTAAGAAAAATCGAAGATACTTTGATGGAAAGGAAAAGCTTATCTCTATGCTTAAGTTCTCTATTATTTCCACCCTTTTTTGTTGGGTTTCAGGGAGAGATTTTAGATCTGTTGAGGAGATTGTTGTTTTTTTGGCCTCTTTGAAGGTTTGAAGCTCTTTTGGCCTTTTTTTTGTCCTTGGGATTCGCTCCCCTTTTGAGCGCTTTTTTAATAAATTTTACTTATCAAAAAATATATATATATTAAAGTTACAACCTCTCTAACAGCTTAAACTTTCAGCATAGATGGTTGTCAACATGGTATTAGAGCAGTTAAGGTCCGGTGTTAAAACTCACAGCCACCCCGATAATTAAAATTGAAACACTTGTTGGACCAAAAGTTGCTTTCTTCATTTCTTCTAGAGCTTTGATTTTGCACTCAGTCCTCACAGATTCATCCCCTCATGAGGAGTAGCCAAAACATTTGAATTTTCACCCATTCCAATATAAAGAATTAGTCAATCAAATAATAGATAGTAAATGGGTCGGTTTGAAAATGAATGAATTGCTAGTCGTAGAATATTATTCCCGTCAGACTTTTGAGAGCTTTGCTTTGCCTTCAAGCAAAACCTCATCCCTATTTGTTCGATGATTTGCGAATTAATGAGGGTGCATTGCCGCTGATAGATCTTTTTCACAATATTTTGTTCCTATGTTGTAAAACGTGATGTGTGTGTGTGTGTGTGTGTGTGTATCTTGAAACTCGTTTAAATTCTATCACATTTTGTTTCAAATAACAAAAAATTCATTTTAAGATCCAATTGATGTAACTGGAGGTAATTTTAGGGGAAGAATATAATCTTCTCTTATTCTATCGCTCTACCCTTGTAAAGAATCCATTTATTTTCATGCAAAGCTTCATTTCTGGTTATTGACAGAGGATTGGAATGCTTGATCCTTTGGAGAGAATATGCATCAAACCTTGGAGGGAGTAACATGTGGGTCTCATGAACGGGTTGGGTTTTTATGTTCTTATATATTAATTCTCTTTCACTGTCTGGTTAGTACCAGTAAAATATTTGAATACTTGCTCTTCGTTAAGCATTTCGGAATGTTTTGTCCATTAAAATAAGTTACCCAATTTTATTAATCAGGTGATGACAGAATGGATCTCCTTGTTCGAATTGTTTAATTTTAATCTTCAAAGTACGGGATGGATTGATAGATTCTCCCATGGATGAGGATGAAACGTGGTGTGTGGTTAGTATACATGTTTAGTTCTTCAATCTAGACAAGTTTAATATGCATACTAACTTCCAGAGTCATGGGGTCTCTTTGATTTCATCATTGTGTTGTTTCAGCCATTGATTGGTCCATAAATTTTGTGTATAGTTGAAATTTTTTAAATCTCATATTATTATTAGTCTTTTCAGTCAAGTAAAGGGCAAATCCTTCATAACATCAAAAAATTCTTAAACTTCAAATGACTGTTTAATGGGAGGGGGTTGTTGAACACATACGCCAAACCTAAGGGAAGGACTATGTAATTGAGGCCAATTTCGACCATCGTGTGTAATTAGGGTACCAAGTATAAGTCACTATCCACATATTGCGGGCCAAACCTCAGGGGAGGTAACTATAATTTTCCCTTCAATTTTCTAGGTTAACATGGTGTCAACATGAGAAATTATCAATTGGTCCTTGACCATTTGACATTTGGTGGACTAATCTAATCAAAACTAATGCAATATATTCTTTGTAATATATTAATACACTCTTGTGGGGCCATTTTCTCAATCCGAGAGTCTGGATTGAATTGGTCTACCAAGTGTCAATGGTCCAAGACCATCTAATAATTTCTCGTGTCAACATATTCCCTAATTATCATCTCTTTGGTTTCATTGGGACAATGCTCCCATTGTCAACCAACATATAAGTTCTTGGAACATCAATTAGATATTAAGAATTAACATAACTTGGAAAAAATGCAAACTCATAAAAAGAAGGGCTCAAGTCCCATTATACCTTTCTATTGTCTTCAATATAAGATCTAAGCAGGTAACAAGAATATTTTTCCTTATCTTCATCGGACGCCAATAGATTGATCATATCTTGACCAACGGCGGCAATACAAGATGGATCAGGACATCTCAGCGTCAAACATCCAGGACCATCGTTAATGGATGTGCTAATGTAGCCTGCCGGATAATTAGAAAAGAAGATTATGATTTTCTAAAACAAAACATTAAGCAGAACTTAATTGACCGATACATGTTTTAAACGAACAAAGGAAACTGTTAATATGTAATAAGTACATTTTTAGAACCCGAGCAAGTTAATTATCCACAACCAAAGCAAGAGATGCAATTCAGATCTCAGTAAGAAATCGAGTCCAACAATAGTATATTTAAACATACCTGTCCAGCATGCACTACAAAAAGGATGACCGCAGGCAGCTTTGATTATTCTATCAAGAGGATAGCTTTCAAAACAGATCCCGCAAGTCAGCTGCCCAACAATAAATAAATAAATGCAATTTAAGTAGTGAGCAAGAACAAGAACAGCATGAAGATTGCAATACAAATGCAATCTATAGCCACAAGTGGGATACAAATTATGTTTATAATTTCCAAATTTATTTTCCGAGTCAGACATAACTTACTTGTCTAGCATTTGGAAATTGAATTACTGGCTTCTCCAACATGCCAACGGCCTTACGGACTCTGTCTTCATCAGCAAACCATGCCTCGTGCAAGTTACTCACACTCCTACATCATTAAATATTATTAAGCATCAAGAAACCAAAAGAAAAAAAAAAAAAAAATGGCACACTTAACAGTTAATACACAGAATTATAGTATAGAAATGCTGCCAGCACAAATGGCATCATCTCCAAATGTTATAAGACACTCAATGTATACATGCTTCAATTCCATACATTTATATTCAACTCTAACCAAACAAATATATATATATACAATAAAAAAGAAGATGATGGTCAATGTCTATGTCAGCCATATAGGTGACAAATGTCAAAGAATGAACAATTTACCAATGATAGTGGCGGAGCAAGATGCATGCATCTATGTTTGATATGGAAAGAACATCAGCAACTGCAGTGATATCATCCTCTTGACGTTTGCGGATATCTTCTACCTCCAAGATTGTATAACCTTTCTGAAAACACAATCAGCACATGACAAATTCAGAACAAACAAATTAATGAAGAATCAATCTCTATCATGTGACCTCAAATTGAAAAAATGAACGGGAAAGTAACATGCATATCAGTGCAGGCTTTATCCATATATCTCAAACCTTTCGTTACACTAAAGCATGGAAACCCTTTTTAAAAAAGGTTTTGAATTCAATGTCTATGGCTCAATTTGCATAGCTCGTTTATATATGCAAGTGAGCTGATTCCTTTCTTTTTTTCTATTTCCTTTTCCCTTTCTTTTTGGGCACATGCAAATTTCTTTAAGGAATTACAAGGCTAATTTAAAATTAAGCTACTAATAAAAAAAGGCTTATTTATCTAGAGCTTTAAGCAACCTAGAGGTCTAGGTGAGATGGTATCTTGAGGTGAAGACCTAGAGGTCAAGTTACAGGTAAGGTCTCAAACTGAAGGCTGAATATAGAGGTGAGATGGAATCTCCACTCAAGATTCCAGGTAGTGAAGTTAAGGTGGAATAATCTCAGGGTGAGGTAGAATCTAGAGATTCTAGGTATACAAGAACTTAAACAGGTTAAGGTGTACGAGAGAAAAGTTAAAGAGGAACCTCAAGGTTTGGTGGAGGTGGAATCTCGAGGTCAATGTAAATGGAAATTTAGGTTTAATGCTTTTAGGAATCTAAAACTTAAGTGAAGGTGAGAATTTAGAAGTCAAGGTTAGAAGGATTCTAGAGATCAAGATAAGTAGTAAGCTAAACAAGAAGGCAACCCTCCAGAGGGATCTAGAGGACAAGCTGACAAAGGTTTTAGAAGGCAAGACTCGAAAGAATCCATAGAAAAAGATTTTTAGTATTCCAGAGTACAAGGGATCCATGTTTACCATGATGTCCCAATTACTAATAATAAAAATACAAACATGTTTGATAATGTTCTCATGTTGCTTGAAATACACTAAGTTAAGGGAGAGGAAAGCTAGAGATTTTAACAATATTACGTGCATCAAGAGAGAGGATTTAAAGGTTTTAGTGAAAGATGATGAAATTAGAGAGAAGTGTGAATTTATTTTGAGAACTTTTTGTTGAATGAAAATTATATTTTTAGAAGAATATAGTGTCACTAAGGAGATTAAAGAAAGCAAATGTTTTTTGCAAGACTAACATATCCAAGGTAAAGAATGTGTTAAGCAAGATGAAGACAGGATCGAGTCTAGGACCTTATGGCATTCCTATTGAGGTCTGAAAGTGTTTAGTTGTTGATGGTGTGCCTTAGCTGAAGCAATAGTTCAATAAGGTAATACTAACTAAAATGATGCTTGAGACGTAAAAATATTTTATGACCTATATATAAAAATAAAGGGAATATTCAAAGTTACTTAAACTACCATGGTATAAATTAACGAGTCATACTATCAAACTCTAAGAGAGAGTTATTAAGCAACCACGAAGGCATGAACCTACAATGTCATGCAATGGACTTATGCTGGGGAGTCCACAATAAAAACTATTTATTCATTAAGGACATTATTTATCAAAAATAATAATAATAATAATTTAAGGACATTAATGAAAATATATTGAGAGAAAACAAAAAGAATCACATATAGGCTTTATAGATTTGGAGAAAGCTTACATGAGGGTCCCTAGAGATACAACATTATGGATTTTAGATAATAAAGGAATATTTAATAGAAATACTGATATGCTAAAGAACATGTCAATGTTTATAGTGAGTACAACTGCATGAGAAATAAGTGAATTCCCAATTACTTTTGGTCTATATCACTCTTTTGATTTCGCCTTTATTATGGATGAACTAACAATTCACCTTTAAGATGAGGTTCCATGATTTTACTATTTTTCTAAATTTTGTTTTGATTCAGGAAAGAGAAATAGTGATAAATGCTTCAGGGGTTTAATCGACACTTGGAGAGGCTGTTTAGTGGGAGCCACACTCGTATTTTTGGAGGGCAGCCCCCTTTTGTGTTTGGTGGTGCGTTTGGAAGGAGCGGAACAGAAGATCTTTTGACGGGGAGGAATCTTCCATTGGGGATTTGAAATTTCTTATTATTAGTTCTCTTTTTAGTTGGGTGATGGGGAAAAAATGTAAATCTATAGAGGAGATTGTTGAATTTTTGGGCTCCTTGGGTCCTTAGGACCTCTTCTTTGGCTTCGGCCCTTGTATAGCTTCTGGATGCGTTCCCCTTTTGATCGCTTTCTAATATATTCTTACTTGTCAAAAAAAAAAAAAAAAAGGGTGATAAATGCTAAAACTAGAGGTTCGGGGAGGGACTCTATGATCAAAGGATTGAAGATAAGTAATACTAAAATTGAATATAAGGAATGTAACTTTAAGTAAAATAAAAAATACAAGTAGGGATATAGTGAAGATTGAGAGTCCAGATGTACCAAAAAGGAACATATCTGTTACCTAGGCTTGATTATACATAGAACGGAAGAAATTTGAAGATGATATTAATAATATTTTAAAAAAAGGCTGAGTAAAATGGAGCAGTGTTCTTGGCAGCTTGGGTGATCAGCGTATGTCTCTAAAATTGAAGGTAAGTATTATCAACCAACCATTAGACCAGTCATACTTATTACTTAATGAGATAGAATGTTGAGTACAAGTAACATATTCATAAAGTGTAGCAGAAACAAGAATCTTAAGATGGATGTGTTGCATCTGGCAAGACAAAAAAGGATAGAGTTAAAAGCTAACACATCAGTTAATGGTTAAAGTAACACCAACTGCAGTAAGATGATTTGGCAATGAGCAGCAACGACCAATAGTTGCACGGTTGCACCAGGTTTATGGTCCTTATCAAAGGTAATGCTGCTAGGGGAAGGGGAAAGCCAAAAGTAACATGGGTTGAGATAGTTAGGAAATAGATGTGGTTTCACTGAGGCCACTGCCTGAGATAGAGTGGAACGACGAAACAATAGTTGTGTATTCAACCATAAGTAGTTGTGAAAACACTTTGTTAAATTGAGTTAGGTATGTTGCTTAAAAATGCATGTTGTTTTGGTACCTAGCATGGTATGCCACAAATCCTAAAATGTGGTATTGTATAAATATATTTATAAAAATTACATAATCAGAATGCATTAAGGCTACTTTTCTAAGTGCAAGAGTGATATAGTTTCAAACAAGTGATTAATGAGACATTATGCTACGAAAATAACCAAAATTTTCTTATTATATTTTAATTAACCTTTTCATTTAAGTCACTTCTAGTGAAGAATAAATCATAACAAGAAAAGGGAAAAAAAATTCTTGGATTGCTATGTTAGTGTTCCAGATCAAAGTGTAACATGTTTTTATATTTCATCTGCCAAAATCGCTACATCTCAGGATTTTAGGGCAACAGTGGATGTCCCAAAGTTCAGTACCATGCAAACGTGACTAAGGGTACTTTATTTACAATAATATGAAAATAATTGTAGAACTCGGGATGACCACTCAAAATTCTTGCAATTAGCTTGTCACTCGGCAAAAGGAATGACAAACAACAGAAAGGGATCAGGCACTTGGTAAACAAAAACAAAATTGTAAAAGCAAGCAACCAATGTCTTGAAGAAACGACAAACAATTTGATAAGATGAAACAATCTCATCCAAAACCTATAACACCATAAACTCAATCAGCAATGCAAAAATATCAAAACCCAAAACCCATAAATTTTGCAAACAGGATTTAAGCAATTACCAATACTACCCTACAAACTAACCACTACAAATAAAATTATCATTCAAACTTATGCCCTATCCATCAAGAGTTTAAATCTAAAATTATACAATCATATAGAATTTCTGCTACATATTCACATAATTTACCCAAAATTCGCTTCAAATATGCAATTTACTTATTCAAACTTCACATATTATCAATCAAATAGAAATAAAAGCAAAATACAAAAAAGAATGGCTAAGATCAACACAAATTACTACATATACAGCAGCAATAAACCAATTCATATTGAAAATCTAGACAAAACAGAAAAGCTTAAAGACGTGAAATTTTTCCCCAATTTACCTGCTGACGGACCGGGATGTCATCAGCGATATCAGAGTCGTTATCCATAAATTCGTAATCGGCACCATCGAAGTCGCTGTCCATGGCCGTGTCGCTGCTGTAGAACCCGTACTCGGAGTCGTTGGCATCGTGCATATCGTCTTCAGAATCCATTGCGATAGGGAAACCTAGAAGGAAACTACAATCAGCTGAGAATTGGTGGCTCGACGGCTAGAGAGAGAAAGTCGGCAAATTATAGAACAAGTTTTAGACAGAGAAACTGGTAGAGAGATAGTATAGAGTTAGTGATGGCTGGAAGATTGAAAAAGGAACAAGAGTGTTTGATCGGATTGTGTTTGGTTTTAGTTTCAGGTTTTGCTTTTGGGATTTTCACCGACCTCGAAGAGAGAGACTTTGAGACAGAAGTGGTAGAAATAGTGGCACATAAAGGAAGAAAGATAGGTGCTTCGTAAACCGACTCTCCTGAGACGAAATAGGAAACCGAGTTGTTCAGATCAATGGATCAATAACACACATGTTCACTTTTACCTAAAAAAATAATACACATGTTCAAATTCCCAGAATTATGGGTTAGAATAAATTAAATTATTTGGGCTTAAATCTTTACTATTGATTGGAGTATAAACATATAAGGAAATAAGAGGGGTCTAATAGGAATTTTTTATTATTATTTTTTTTTTTCAAAAAGGGTCTAATAAGATAAGGAAACAAAATTTTCAGGAAGTCTAATAATATAAGGAATAAAATTATAAGGGTCTTCTATAAAACAAAATTACCAATTATTTGCATGAATTTTTTAACTCTGTAGTTAGAAATATAAAGAAAAATGATTAATTATTTACAATAAATATTTTAACTAATATGAGTAGAGTGACTTTTGGGTACGATTGGTTCAATTTTTACAAAAACAATTTTTCAGAACTTCAAAAAAAAAAAAAAAAAAAAAAAAAAAAAAAAAAAAAAAAAGAAGAAAGAAAAACTATTATTAGATAACTATAAATGATAATTCTTTGAACATATATATTTGAGTTTTGAACCAAGCATATTTTTTTTTTATACAGTTTTTTTATTTTTAATAATTATTTAAAAACATAAACTTATTATCTGAAAACTAAACCAAGCATGCAAAAATTCTACCTTAAACCCATTCGTACACAAACTTTTCAATTATACCCCTGAGGAAGGGGGTGGATGTAGAGCCTTTGAGAGGGTTGAATTCCCATTCACGAGTAGAGGAAGAAGACATTGACCTCTTGAAAGGGATTATGGTTATCATTTTTAAAATTGAATGATTTTGAAGGAAATGATAAGAAAGTTGCTAATTATTTATTTAGTCACTAGTTTTTAGAACAAGTTAAATTCATGTTTTGCTCATATCACTTACAATATAAGTAATTTTCTTTTTTCCCCTACAATCGTTTTAATCATGAATCACACTATCCTTTTCTTTTTATCTCCTTCTAATTTATTCAAACATGAGAACGTGTCAACAGTATCCTTTTATCTCTTGTGTTTTATTATAACTAAAATTTTACTCGAATTTCTTCTCCCTAATTCTCATCCAAGCACAATATATGGTGAAAATTTGAAGGAAATTATGATAGTACCCCTAATCTTATTTGGATAAGATATTAAAGTGCATATGATTTTCTTATTTGCTTAGTCCTTAGACTCGAGAATAGGTAATTAAGAATGGTATATTTTCATTCATATTTTTGTCTGTAGATGTACAATCTATATATAGAGGTTGATCTCCTACAATTAGGCTATACAATCAATCACACATTTACAGCCCATAATGAAGCACGATTTCACAGCTAATATATTGCAAGGCAATCAATCTAAGAATAGAAAGAATTACAAACGATTATATCCTCCTAATCTCCTAGAATCAACACTTCCCCTCAAGTTGGTGCGTAGATATCACACATGCCCAACTTACCTAAAAACTTTAAGAATACTCGATAGGAGACTGCTTTGGTGAGGATACCGGCCAGCTGATCTTCTGATTTTATTTTAGGCAACTCCATAATTTTTCCATCTAACTTTTCCTTGATGAAAATTTTGTCTACCTCGATATACTTTGTACGATCATGTTGTACTGGATTATGAGCAATGTCACATGCTGTTTTATTATCACAAAACAATTGCATTGGTTTCCTAGACAGGTAACCCAAGTCCCGTAAAAGGAGTCTTAGCTATAATGTTTCACAAAGTCCTAGAGCCATACCTCTAAATTTAGATTCTGCACTTGTGCGAACGACAACACTATGTTTCTTACTTCTCCATGACACAAGATTACCACCTACGAAGGTAAAGTAATCAGAGGTAGATCGCCTATCATCCACGGCACCGGCCCAATCAGCATCGGTATATGCATCTATGCTTTAATAATCTGAGTTCTTAGTGAACAAGATTCCCTTTCCAGGAGCATATTTCAAATACCTCAAAATACGCATAACTACGTTCATATGTTGCTCTCCAGGATTATGCATAAACTAACTGACAATACTTAATGCATAGGCTAGATCTAGTCTTGTATGTGCTAAGTACATCAATCTTCTTACAAGTCTTTGGTATCATCCTTTATTAGTTGGTACTTGGTTGGACTCAATGCACAACTTTAAACCTTCCTCCATTGGTGCATCAATTGGTTGATATATTGACATACCGGTCTCTTGTAAGAGATCTAAAGCATATTTTCTTTGGGATAGAAATATTTCTTTATTGGATCGAGATACTTCAATCCCAAAAAAATATTTCAGAGGGCCTAGATCTTTCATTTCAAATTCTCTAGACAAGTAATTTTGTAGGGCCATTCTTTCTTCAGAATCATTCCCTGTAACCACCATGTCATCCACATATACAATAAGTGCAGTGATTTTACCCTGCTGTTTTTTAAGGAATAGAGAATGATCTGAATTGCTTTAATGATAGCCAAATGCTCTCATATACTTTGTGAACCTTCCGAACCAAGCTCTTGGAGATTGCTTCAATCCATATAACGACTTCTTTAGTCTGCACACCTTCTGACTATGCCTCTCGAGTATCATGCACCCAAGCAGGAGATCCATGTAGACTTCTTCAGATAATTCGCCATGTAGTTACATTCTTTACATCAAACTGTTATAAAGGCCAATCAAAATTCGCAGCTAAAGATAACAGAACACGAACTATGTTGATTTTGGCTACTGGTGCAAATGTCTCTGTGTAATCGATCCCGTAAATTTGAGTGTACCCCTTAGCCACCAGTCTCGCTTTAGAGCGTTCAATTATGCCATCAGCTTTGTACTTCACAGTGTAAATCCACCAATATCCAACTGTTTTCTTTCCTGGTGGGAGATTAACAAGTTCCCAAGTTTCATTCTTCTGCAGGGATTTCATCTCCTCATTCATAGCTGTTTTCCACCTGGGGTCAACTAAGGCTTTCTGCACACAGTTAGGAATAGATACACTGGACAATTGATTTACAAATGACATATTTGATTCAGACAAACGATGGTTAGACATATAATGACTCATAGGATATTTGACTTTACTAGAAAGCTCGGGCTCACATGTAGGTTTAGGAATACCTTTGGTGTGACGCTGTGGTAACTGTCTTCTGTGTGGCTCAGGAACATCTTCAGAAAACGATTAGTATGGTAAGTCAAATGGAATTAGCGGTGGACTTGCTTCTTGAGGTGGACTTGTTTCTTCTATTATTGGGTGTTCATCACCACTTTGATCCAATGTTATACCACTTAAATCCAATTCACCCATTTCTTTATTTGTTCGTTCAGCTTGTGAGTCATCACCACTTGAATCCAGATTGCCCACATTTTGGTTAGATGATTCAGCTTCCTTAGAAGTGGGATAATCATACTCTAAAAAATCATAATCCAGAGTCTGAATTCCCTTTTGGTACTCCCCCTGAAGTTCAAACTCAGAACAATACATCGAGTTTTCGTGAAAAACAGCATCCATTGTGATAAACGTTCGCTGTGAGGGAGGATGATAACATCGGTACCCTTTTTGATGAGTAACATACCCAACAAAAACATACCACAATGCTCTAGGAGTTAACTTATTGTGTTGGTGTTTATGAAGGTGTACAAACACTACATAACCAAAGACACGAGGAGGTAAATTTGGTACAGTTGGGGCAACAATTGCTTCAGTGAGAGCTTGGAATGGTGTTCGGAAATCAATAGTGCTGGAAAGTACCCGATTGATTAGATAGGCTGCAGAAGTAAGCGCTTCTCCCCAGTAGGAGAACGGCATATGAGCGTTTATTAATGAAGCGCAAACAACCTCCAATAAGTGTCAGTTTTTACGTTCTGCAATCACATTCTGTTGAGGTGTGTTGGAATAAGTAGTTTGATGGATTGTTCCATGTGCTTCCAAATACTGTTGAAGTTTAGTACTCTGATATTCTCCACCATTGTCATTATGAAAAACCCGAATCCTGGCATTATACTGAGTTCCAATCGTTTTATGAAACTCTTGAAATAAAGAGTTCACTTCACCTTTGGATTTCATCAAGTATAACCATGTCATCCTGGTACAATCATCAATAAAAGTTACAAACCAACGTGATCCACCCAAAGTAGTGACTTTGGATGGACCAAACATCATAATGTATAATCATGAAAAAAGTGGAGTTTTATTCAATCGTAATGGGAACGAAGCACGATGGCTCTTTGCCAGTTCACAAACATTACACTGGAAACTAGAAACTTCAAATTTTGCAAATAAACTAGGAAACAATTTTTTTTAGATATCCAAATGAAGCATGCCCCAGACGCCGACGCCACAACCTGATTTCCTTTTTCTTTTTCTACCCCTCACATCCATTCATCGTCAGCGCTTGTTGTAGCTTGTGGGAACTTATTGACGCCAAGTCCAAATAGTACAGCTTCCCCTGCCTAATACCATAACCAATCGTCTTCCTGGTTTAAATGTCCTTAAACACACAAGATTCAGGCCAAAAAATTACAATTCAAGATAAGGTTTTTGTTATTTGAGAAACTAACAACAGGTTATAATCTTAAGATGGAACAACTAAAACAGAATCTAAATTTAGAGTATCAGTGAGGGTTAAAGATCCTTCCACAATAACTGGGGTTGAAGTTCTATTGGTAATGGAAACAAATATTTGTCAGGTGGGGTTAAGTGGTGAGACCTGTCTAGTATCAAATGTCATATGATCTGTAGCACCAGAATCAATTATCCATGTACTATTAAAAAGAGGTGCAGAAATGTTTAAAGCCTTACCACCATTATCTGCAACTATTACCAGTTCTGAGGCTTTTACAGCTACATCATATTTTGTCTTTGCTTCAACAACTACGGTAGTGGATGTTCTGTTCTAATCCTTCTTTGACCGACTATGATCCCACCAGTCCGGATATCCCACTAGCTCAAAACAACGACTTTTGGT